CTTAGTTAGGATAGCCTGACGAGTAAACCTTGCAGCGCCCCGAAGTAGTTGTTTGCAAATCTGGAGTCGCAGAGGGGGGGGGCAAGGGATGAGAGGTCGCAGGCGTCGAGGTTGGCCTGGGCGAAGTGACGGAAGACGAGAGAGCTGAAGATGGCCTTGGGGATGGGTTGGGAAGAGGGGTCCCTGGGTGGAGTCGGACGGAGGGAGGTCCACGGCTATCCCAACATGGTCGGACGCCCCCCTGTGGTTCAAAATTTCAACCTGCCCTTAGGTGTATCTCGTCGCATGGCATTGCGTGACTACCCAGCCTGGCAGAGACGCAAAAAGTCGGTCGACCGTGGACGTCGTATCCGTCGCAGTCGAGATGTGGGCGGGGCCGTCGATGTCGATCTCGGTGAGGGCGGAGAAGAGGGAGGTCCACTGTCTGTCCAGAGTGGCACGCCAGTCGCTGTAGCCGTGCCCAGGATTCAGCACATTCTCTGGCACCAGCGCCCCGGGCGGTGTCGAAGAGATGTTAAATTCACCTGCAACCAAAAGAAGTCGGGTATGTGGTGCTTCCTTTGCGGCCGCCAGGTCCCGTCGGATAGCCAAAATCACCCGTCGGTTCTCGGTGGCAGCAAGCCCAAAGTTGTGCATGGTGTAGTGAGTAACCCAAGCGCCACTACCCCCGAGGATAAGCTTGACCCGAAGCACCCGCCCCGCCACAAGCTCGACTAGCTGCGAGTAAGCAGCGTTGAAACCATCATCTGAAAAGGGCGCCCGCTTCGTGAAGCTCTCTAAGGTGATTACCTTCATCGTAGCTAGCGCCCTGGCCAGGCAAGGTAGGAGGACCCGGAGGGGAGAACGCAATCACACCACCGGCATTACGTCGGGACCCGGCATCGTTGACACAGAAGGAGGAGAACACGTCACATTTCTTGTGGGCGTGGTAGAGGTAGTTGGCTAGTTCAGCTTCTCTGCCGCGGGATTCCTGGACGCCTGCGATGCTGGAGTTGGAGAGTAGGGAAGAGAGGTAGTTGAACTTAATCGCGCGGAGGTGGGGGTCGTGGCGGAAGAGAGAGCGGGCATTCCAGCCGCTGCACGATGGAGATTTAAAATCTTGTCGCCCGCCTGCCCACAGGTGGAAGAATTCGCTAAAGACACCGCTCAGGAGCAGCGTCGTCTGCCTGAGAGAAAAGCATCTCGCCCTTCGCGGCCATTTGCGTCGTGTCCAAGCCGGCGGCCTCGATGTGGTTCTTGGCCCACTCCAGCGGCGGGGGCTCGGACTGACCAGGCTTCGGGGTGAGACGAACGATTGCCTTCCAATTGAGGCTGATCTCGCCTTTGATCTCATCCGAATAAAAGCGCCTGCCTGGGTGGGGCTCTTCGAGTCCGCCACGGAGACGTTTGAGCCCAATCTCTCGCTGGATCTGGAACGCGTTCTTGTCGCTGCTGACATGCATGAGCGCGTCGCCGTTCGTCGCAGTCTTGGCTGCGAGTTGTCTCCAGCCACCTTGAGGTCCCAGCACACGCATGGCAGAAAATGTTTGATTGACCCTTCTCGTCGCATAACCTGAAGCACCTTTGAAACGGACCTGGAACTTGTTCGAGAGAGGGCCGCCTTCGATGTCCACATCTTCGATCGGGACGTTGGCCGTCTCCAGGACAGGTTGGAAGCCAACAGGAGCGTTCGGCTTGGGGACGGCATCTTTCGCGCGCAAGATGATTATCGTGTTGTCGGTCTTCCGCTCAAAGCCTCTATTGCCACCAGCCGCGGCAGCTGTGGCTTCAGGTTTCTCAGCACGTACGGCACCCAAAAGTTGCCGAAGGTCACGTACGTCTTCCTGGAGCGCCGTGATCTTGGAATTCTGCTCACGGATCTCCACACTGGCTTGATTGAATCGTCTCTCCATATGCAGATCGAGAGTGTGACAGTGGCTGGTGAATGAGTTGCCGACAGATGCAAGGCCCGCCTGGGCCGCCGCGAGCGAGCGCATGATTTCGGCCATGGTGTTGTCCACGTGCTGCCTGAGGTCCTCGAGGTCGGCGTCCGTAGCACGGGGCCGCTTATTCTCCACCTCGCCATCTGAATCTCGAGGACCGGGCACGCTGTGGAGTCGCAACCGCTGCAAGAATCGGAGTGGCAATACCCCCGATCGGAGTAGACGGAGGTCGGCCCTGAATCTTCTGGAAACGTCGGGGCCTGAGAGAGGCCAGCCATCGCAGCCTGGCGCTGCTGAGAGGTGGCCCTCGCCCAGTCGTCAGGGTACTCCCAGCCCGCGAGAGGGGCCCGTCCTTGTTCTTCGTCACAGTCGACGACAGCGTCCTGCCCGCTGGCCATCCGTGCGCACAAACAGAGAAGGATAAGCAATCTGTCATGCTCCCAACAGGGAGGACCAGCGCAGTGTGAAACAGGAAAATGAAGTAGGGTCTCGTGACGCCCTGCAGCACCCTGAGCCCTAACCGAGTACTGCCAGTCCCTGGCAGGCTTTGGGCAACGGCCTTGAGTCAAAATGGCTGCGGACTCCTCCTCCTCCTCCTCCTCCTCCTCCTCCTCCTCCTCCTCCTCCTCCTCCTCCTCCCTCTACGTACTGTTCATTCAGTGGTGCTCGCTCGGTGTTGAACGACGTGCGTTGCGCGGTTGAGGCTGAGCTCGCGTCAGGCTTGGCCAGGTTCGGGGCTTATCGACGCCAACCGTCGTTGGACAGTGCTGCGATATTGCATATGCAGGTCGCTGTCAGAATCCAAGGTCGGAGGTGTCATTGATCCCTCGGCTGTGCACGTGATCCCTGTGGGCGTTTGAGCTACCACTTTCCCTGGGACGAGTTCTTCATGGCGGGCCGTGGTGTTAACAACCCTGGGGCCCGTGGAGTACCAACGGCGGCCAACTAGAATCAACAACCAGCAGGAACCGCTTCCCGCAAGACACGCTTCCTCTACGGCGAACGAACTTCGAAACGCGAAGTGCTGCTTAACTTTGCCTGCTGCCAGTGGGCACAGGGGGCACAAGATTAATCACGTCGAATCGGAATGCGCGTCGGACCGGGCTGCGTCGGCACGGAGTGGAGATCGAGACGGATCGACCAAGCCAGGATGCACAGCAGCGACATGCAGGGACCGGGCCGCCTCGGATCGCCTCAAGATCGAAATCGAGGAGGCACAGGCCGATCGAGATCTGGGTCAGCCAACGTCGCGCATCGCGCCCCGCGATTTATGTTGCTCCCGTCGTACTTCAGGACCACACCCAAGAACTAATTCCGAGCACCCAGAGAAGTATCGAAACGGTTTCGAGAGAGTTTCGCCTGCCAGGGCCCAGCGCGTGAAAACCCTCAAGTCTCGGTACTTTCTTGGTGCTCGAAATCCTTTCTGGTGCTCAAGGCTGAAGCAGGTTGGAACATCACAACCCGCGATGTGCTACGCGTGGCTCTCCTCGCGCCTTCGCGCCGCCGCCCTGGAGAAGGGCGCCTCGCCAGCGCAGGCTGCGGTGCGCGAGGCGCGATGGCCTTCGGGCCCCAGGGGGGAGATCTGCAGTCCTCGTGCTGGCAGGAGGAACGCTCCCAGGGTGGCCCATGTTCCTGTACATGTTATCCATCACTTCCCATATCTTCCATATGTTCCCTAGAGATCCCCCTCCAGGTTTTCGTCTTCCCCCTCCAGGTTTTCGCCTTCCCCCTCATTTCCCATATTTTACATATTGTCCCTAAAGATCCCCCTCCAGGTGTTCGTCTTCCCCCTCCAGGTTTTCGCCTTCCCCCTCACTTCCTATATTTTCTATATTTTCTCTAAAGATCCCCCTCGAGGCTTTCGTCTTCCCCCTCCAGGCTTTCGCCTTCCCCCTCACTTCCCATATTTTCCACACGTCCCTGGGAGTCGCCGATCGACGGCGTCTGTGTGTTTCTCCCCCTCCCGGGGAGCGCAGGGCAAGGGGCGAGGGGCTCTCCTGGCCCAGGCGCGCCCCGGCCACGGGCGGGACCCCTGACGTAAGAATTCCGGGCAGCGGCCCGAACGGGAGGAGGAGGAGGAGGAGGAGGAGGAGGAGGAGGAGGAGGAGGAGGGAGGAGGGGGAGGAGGAGTAGTAGCAGGAGGAGGAAGAAAAGGAAGAAGAGGAAGAGGAAGAGGAGGAGGAGGAGGAGGAGGAGGAGGAGGAGGGAGAAGAGGAGAAAGAGGAGCCCAAACCGGCGGTCCTTGCGGCCGCGTCGGCATGTCACGGCCGGACCTGCGGAAGAAGAACGCCCTTCAGGAGCATCGTGAGTCCCTCCGCCGGCCAAGCTGAAGGACGTTCGAGGGTACCCCTTTCCAGGATGCACACAAGAGCATCCAACGAGCACGAAGAGAACACTAGGGTGCCCTCCCCGAGACCGACCTCGATCTTGTATACCTCGGTCCGACCGCGCACGAACTCGGCAGCGAGTGGGGGCGAGATGGGCCCTGGCGGGAATTGGACCTCTGCCGCCCGAGGCCAGGCGCCCCCCGAGCCGAGTCGACAAATCGGCTCGGCAACCGACCTCAACGGGATCGGCGGAGGTCGGCAGCCGAGACGGGAGACGTCGCATCGGCGGACATCGGCCGCCCAGGAGGCCTCCACGAAAACCTCGGAGCCCACGTCGGAATCCGAAGCCGAATCACATCGGAATCGAAAGCCGTCATAACGGATCCGAATCGGATCGGAGGAACCGAAAAACGAGCCCTGCCCGTGGCCCGGCGGCGACGAGAGAAGGGCGAATGGCCCAGGGGCGGGCACCGCACGCATTCGCCCGGTAGCCTTTTCGAAGACATAGATCGTCGGCGCGCCTGGATACATCGATTTTGGCGGCGCGCGCACGGGGGTGGGGGGAGGGGGAAGGGCTTCTTAGAAGGCTCGGGCCTTATGTCTAGATGCAAGGCCGGCGCCTTCTAAGAAGCAGCCTCCCTCGAAGAAGCCCTCCCCCCCCCTCCCCCCCTCCCCCTTGCGCGCGCCGCCAAAGACGGCTCTCCCCTGGGCTATTCGCCCCTATCGCCGCCTCTGGGAGGCGGGCCCGCGCCTGGGCCCACGCCGCCGCGTCGGGCCCGGCGCGCTTCTCCGCGGGCAGCGCTGCGCAGCCCGAGCCGCTCAGGCTGGCCTCGGGCGGCGAGGGGTGCGGGTGTGCGGGTGTGCGGGTGTGCGGGGGGGGAGAAGGAGGAGGAGGAGGAGGAGGAGGAGGAGGCGGCGGAGGAGGAGGAGGAGGAGGAGGAGGAGGAGGCGCACGCGGACGCGGATGCGGAGGACGCGGAGACGGCCGTCTGAGAAGGCACCTCGTCCTGCAGAGGCCCTCCTCCTCCTCCTCCTCCTCCTCCTCCTTCCCTCCCACTTCCTCCGTTCCTTCCTTCCTTCCTTCCTTCCTTCCTTGCTTCTCTTCTTCTTTCCTTCCCTCCTTCCGTCCCTCCTTCGCTCCCTCCATCCATCCTTCCTTTGTTCTTCCTCCTGGCTCCTCCTCCTCCTCCTCCTTCTCCTCCCGCCTCCTCCCTCCTCTTCCTCCCCATCCTCGGTTATCGTTATCTACCGCCTCCTTTGGACAAAACCCTTGTTTCTGATCCCGCATTGCACCCTGGTGTACTGCTCTGGATCAACGTCCTCTAGGACAGCCCAGTGGGTGGATATGAAAGTAACCGAATTCACCACAACGGGAAGCTACGGGTGGGAGGGGTTGGGTGTCAGATATGGCTCGAGCCCGCCTAGCTTATCCCAGACCCTCTCTCCTCCTCCCCCGTTCCTCTTCCCACTCCTCCCCCTGATACCGAGGGTGCGTCGAGAGATCGGGCTCGAAAACCTGCGGCGCGGCGGCGTGTGGCGTGCTCCAGAAACCCTGGTCCCAAACATGTTGCAATCTCGTTGGGGCGCACACCTCACTGCCGCAGGCTTCCGCTGGCAGAGGCGGCCTCGTTTTGCTTCCGCCAGCCTTCCTTTTTTACGTCGCTACTCCCTCGAACATTCGGCTGGAAGTTTTGCGGTGAGCTAGCCTAAAGGCCTACCGATGTCTCGGCGCTAACACTTGCTCCGCCAGCATCCGCCGAGGGGGAGATGGCAGCTCCTTCGACCCTCGAAGGCGAGGCCCTCTCTGGAAAGTCTCACGTGCGATGCTGGGCGTGCTGCAGAAAGGCGGGGGGCCGTGCTTCGCATGGGGGAATCGTGCCCTGTGGGAAACGGGTCTTTGCCAACTGGGCTGCCATTCGGTCGTCCATTCGTCGTTCCGATTGGAGTTGGATCGACGCTTGCACGCCTAATGAAGCTGCTCACCGTCTTACTGTCTTCCTAGCTCAGCGTATGCACGATTTCATCCCAAAGCGCGTTTTGAACTTCTCTCCTTCGCATCCGTGGCTGGATTCTGCATCTCTCGCACTTGTCTCTGCGAAGGTGTCTGCTGGACCCTGGGGCCCTTCCCCGGGACGAGATCTCCATCCTGACACATTTCAAGACCCATCTCATGACAGATGGCCGTCATACAGACACGTCTCGAGACCCGGCCGGATACATCCCAATGACGAACGAACAACGCACACCCATACCCATAAGGGCGGTCGTTGTGAGGAGGACTCGCTGTTGGTATGGGTGCGGGTTGTCGGACCCTGGGGAACGCTCCCGTTCGAGCGGGGACCCCCATCCGACAACACGTACCCATAACCCTCTCCGACCCCCCTATGGGTTTGGGTGTGTGTTGTTGGTTCGTCATCTCAAGACTCGGCCGGATACATATTCTGGCTCTCGTGGCTCTGAGCATTGCCCTCGGCTTTCTGTCGGCCTCGAGGGCACGATCTGTTCGCAGTCCCCGGGATCCAGATCGAGGCCGCCGGTTGCCATGCCGTAGGGCTCCACTGTCTGGATGTCGGTGTTGCCCCGGAGGCTGTCGCAGCCCTGCCGCCCGTCGTCGCCCTGGAGGCCAGAGTAGCTCTGGGGAGCTTAGGAGTACAAGCCGCTATCGATATAGGATAAAGCTGCCGTGCCTGTAGTAGATGCCGCAGGTGCAATAGAGGTGTGACCTCGATGGCAAAGTACTTGTACTGAAAAAACTGGTACTGCTGCCTGTAACGGAATGTCTTGAACGCGGAAGCGTCTTTCCTACCGACTTGCTCGGAATGCTCGTCGCCGTACTTGTCATTCTTCGCGTCGTACCTGCGGTACTTGTCGCACGTACCGCGCTTGGTGCCGTACCTGGTGGCGAATTCGTCGTTTTTGCTGCCGTGCTTGGTGCCCCCCTTGGTATCGTAATTCTGCGCGGCTCGCCGCGCAGCTGCCTCGACCGCAGCCGAACGTCCGCGGCGCGCGGCGCGCCGGGCCAAGGCGCCCAGGTCACCCACCTGTCGCGCCCGACAAAAATTGAAGGGGCCCCAGGACACACAAATCAATACACACAAATAAAACGATTCCCAATGTATTCCCATATGTTCTGGGTTTCTGGCTTCCCCCCCACTTCAAATATTTTTCCATGTTTTCTGGGATATCGAAGATTAATTGTGCCTGTGTGTTTCTTTTCCTCCTGAAAAATGGCCGCCGTGAGGGTGGGCACCCCCCCGCCCGCACCGGACCGCCCTGAGTTGAGCAGGGGCCGACCGTCCCAGCATTCCTGTAGGCCTACCGCGCAATGTTCTTACAGCCCAGCAATTGTTGTACGAACAAGGGCTATACATTCTTATAGCGCAAACCCGATGTGGTAAAACAAGGCAGTCTCAGGCAGAAATGTTCCAAGAACAATTCGTGCAGACCGCAAAAAGGTTCTCATGGCATTATTTGGTAAGCCTATGACCGGCCGGCGGTCAGCTGGCATGGCAGACCGCCGGCGCGGCCGTGGGCGTAAAGCCAGCCCCCCCGGGCGCGCCTTACGCCAAAATGGTTTGAACAAACACAGCTACGGACCCTCCTCCTCCTCCTCCTCCTCCTCCTCCTCCTCCTCCGCTGAAGTGTTCCTGGTGGGCATATCGACCATGATGTGCGGCCCCGTCATGGACATCAACGGTGACGAGCTCTCAGCGTTACTGGCGGTCCTGAGGTTCGCCAGTCCACCCGCGACGGCGATAGTAGACAGCAACTTCGCCTCTGGCGGGAGGTGCGGCGGCTGCTGGACGAGTGTGGCGGCCTCGGCGAGCACGGGCTGATGCTGAGGAAGGTGCTTGCCCACCTTTCACGACGGCAAGTCGCGGAAGGCAAGATCACTTACCGCGGCAGGTGTGGCAACAAGCTGGCGGACAAGGCCGCCAAGAGTGCCGCTGGTCATGCGCGGAAAGACCTTCAGGCAAGGAAAAAGCTCGTGGCGGCCAACAAGGAAGTCGTGGCGATGTGGGTCTTTGCCGTGGGCGCCGCCGTTGGCTGCAAGAGACCACTCATGGCGTTGCCAAGCCCAACAAGCCGGCCCCACAGCGAGCACCAGCGCCCTTTGCGGCCAAGCTGGACGCGGCTCGCCCTCCAAGAAGGGCGCGGCGACGCTGTGGTGGCTGGCGCGGAAGCGGGCCCCTGGCAACGGCCAGTCCGAGCTGGCTGTGTAGCTTGAGCGCCTCGGACTCCTGCCCGTGCCGCCGCCTGGCCTTCGAGGAGCTCCTCGCGGGCGTGGATGAGGTCCTGACTCATGACCGCACCGCTGGCGGCGCAGGGCCCCCGAGGCGAGGGACCCCGATCACGCCGCTGGAGATGCAGGGTTCCTGCGGGCCCGCGGGCGGGCGAAGGAGCGACGACCCACGCCCCTCAGAGCTCGCTGATCCTCCTCCTCCTCCTCCTCTTCCTCCTCCTCCTCCTCCTCCTCCTCCTCCTCCTCTCCGTAGCCATTTTGGCTCAAGTTCCAAACGTCTGCTCCTGCGCTTGGAGCTTGAACATAGCCGCGGGGGCGGCTCAAGGCCCCCGTGCATCTCCGAACTCGCCCTTTCCACGCCCGCCCGCGTCAGCTTGCCCTGGCGTCGCGGGCTTTGCTGCCGTGACCTCGCGGTCGGCGGCAGTGTGCAGCCATCACCCGCCACAGGGCTGCTCTCTTCCTCTGGTCGCTCGCAGCGGCGCCATGGCTGGCGGGCGACAGCAACGGAGGGCAAGCGCACAACCTTGGTTCTGCAAGTGGTGCGAGCACAAGCCGTCGGGCACCCCGTGGATCAACCGCGCGGACCACATATGGTGTGCGCAACGCGGGCTTCCCAAGGGGTCGGCGTTCAAGGGGCGCCCTCCTGCCAAGGGCCCGCCAGCCGCTCGCTCGCCTGCAGCTGCCAGTGCCCGTGAGATCGCCCTCACAAAGCAGCTGGCCGACATGCAAAAGCGAGTGGGCGAGCTGGTCAAAGGGAGCGCCTCCTCGGCTGGAGGAGGAGCACGCGGGCCCGCCGCAGGGCAGTCCGCGCCCACCCCCCCTTGGGGGAAGCCTCCTACCGATGAACGCAAGCGGCTTGATGACATTAATGCCTTTCTCAAGTCGAGTCTGTTGGGTGACACCGAGACAAACCGACAAGCCCGTGCCCAACATGTCAAGGAGCGGGACGAGCTGCAGGCCCGTCCCGAAGCCGCAAAGCCTCTCAAGAAGCATGTCAATGTCCTATCCAACAAGCTCCAGGGTGCCCGCAGGAAGCAGGCCGCTTGCCAGGCCAAGCGTGAGGCAGCGGAGCTTGCAGTCCAGAAGGCGCAGCAGGCTCTCGAGCAGGCCCGCGAAGACGAGACGGAGCCCGCAACTGCCATCCTGGAGCTGGGGGCCAGGCTACGGGGTGTCGTGGCCCAGGGCACGCACAGCTCCAACGGCTCGCCCAAGCTCACCGACGTCATCTCAGGGCTGGGCACAACAGTGGACCAGCTGGGGGCCGTCGCCCAGGCTCCCAGCGGCGGCGAGAAGTTTGCCGCTGACCTCGCCACTATGGCAGCTTGCGTTGGCAGGTTCAAGGATGAGGCGGCCGCGGCGCAGGCCCAGGCGGCGCCTGAGGAGCAGGGCCCCGAGGCGGCGCCTGGCGGAATGCCTGGCACGCCTGAGCCCGACATGGAGGTGGGCGAATCTGCAGCGGACGACGTGGACGACCTCGACGCCGAGACGTGTCGCCAGCACCTCAAAAGTTGTGGCGTTGAAGTCCCTGTGCCCACGGAGGGGGACGACGACCCAACGCCACTGCGGGGGCAACTCAAGAGGCAACTCAATTCCTTCGACACGGTACACAAGAAGCTCAAGAAGGCGGCCTAGTTCAAATCTTTTGGTCTTGTATGCCACTGTGTACCTCGACAGGTGGACGCCCGCGACAGGTGGACGCCCACGCGCCCACGCCTCAGAGGGCGCAGATCAGACGCCCCCAACGCAATGCTGCAGCCTGCACCTGGTCGCGGGTCCCAGCCCCTGCGGGCTGAGGGGAAACGTGCACCCGACCAGCGGGCCCAGGAGCAGCCCGGTGTGGAAGGCTTGGTGCCCCGCGGGGCGCAGGACCTTGCCGCGGGCCCGTTGAGGGTTGAGCGACCAGTGACACAGCAGGCAGCCCGAGTGACCAGCGCCTCTCCCCTGCCAGTTGGGGGAGACTCGGGGGCAGCAGACATCGCAGACATCCGCGACGTCGACATGCACCAGGACGGCGAGCCCGACATGAGCGGGATCGCAGACTACGGAGGCACCTCCACCTCGAGCCACTCAGGAGTCAAACCACCGCTGGCCACGGTGGGGGGGAGGGGGAGGACGAGTACTCCCTGCGTCTCCCAGGGGGGGCGGCGGGCTGGAACCCACGCTGTCGTGCCCACTCTGCGGAGGATGGAGGCGGGCGTGCCGACCGTCCCCACCCCGCGCCAGGACGATCCGACAGTGTCGTCTCGCGGCATTGCTAGTGGCTCAGTCCGAGGCGATGCGGGATCCTTTTCACGTCACGTACATTCCACGGTGCGAACAGGCATGGAACAGCCGGAGTCTTTGAATGGTGTTGACGCGGACCCTAAGAAGCCTGAGACCCTTCCCAGGGTTTCGGTGGAGGGCGCGCGCTCACCACCGTCTGCTTCTACGAGACCGTCCTCTTCGGCGGGTGCGACTGCATTGTCTTCTGACTGCGCGCGGAGCGCGCCTGAAGCGGGGGGGGGGGGGGGGGGGCATGAAGGCCATGTGCCGAAGCCCAGAGCATGGCGCCAGCGGGCGGAGGCCATCATGTTCGTACCAGGTCACCTCCAGCGGCCGAAGGCGTCGCCAAGTCGGTGAGGGCCAAGCGATCAAAATATCAGTCGCTCGTCACGGTCAACACTACATCGTATGGGCCCATGCTGGATTACCTGGCGTGTGCCGCAGAATGGGTCATCGCCATCCAGGAGCATCACGTTACTCCCGAGCTGCTTGCAGACAAACAGCACGCAGTGCTTGACACTGGCTACCGTGGCCTTTGGGCCCCAGCCATCCCCCGTGACGGAGGCGGCACTGGAACTACTGGTGGGGTGGCTGTGATAGTTCCATCACACACTGGCTTCTGCGCGCCACCAGGCGATTCGCACATCATCATTCCTGGTCGAGCAGTTGCTTGCCACGTCAATTGGGGTGTTCCTGGTGGCATGGTGGTGCTTTCTATTTACCTGCAGGGCGGTGAGGGTTTGGGGCCACGCAACACTGATATGCTGTGGGCCATCATGCAGTACTTGTGCTTTCTGAATTCCAAACAGATACCATGGGTGGTGGGTGGAGACTGGAACATGGACAGAGCCGTACTATGCCAATCCAACTGGGCCAATGCCGTCAATGCAGTGACCTGCGTGCCCACCACCACAACTTGCAGGCAGGCACTACCAGGCACGTGCATCGACTACTTCGTCGCCAGCGTCTCGCTCTTCCAGTTCCTGGGCAGGGAGGTCAGTGTGGACGAGGAGGCGGCCACGTTTCCCCGTCTTCCAATGCGTCTGCCTCCCCTCGCCGCCCCAGTCACGACGCGGGCAATGTGCCGTGTGAAAAAAAAGGCAGCCCCAGCGACGCCTCCCATCGGGCGCGCGAGGCCACCGGCGTTCCCGCGGCAAGCTGTCATGGAGGCTGCTGGCCCGCAAGTGAATAATAGGCAGAACTTAGTAGGACTTTGGGACCTCGTCTCTGAGGGCATCTAATGTGCGTCTCAGTTTCTCTGGGACCGCGCGGGGCCCAAGACGGAGGCTCACTTCGGCAACTCCGAGGCCCCCTCCACTAAGTGGAAGAAGCTTGCCGGGGCTCCCCCGAGACGGCGCTCCTACCGCGACAGCGGCGCGAACGCGTGGGCCACGGCCCTCTGATGGGCCGCGCGTCTCGGGAAGGCCCGAAAGTTTTTGGCTGAGAAGGTTCAGCGCCTTCAGATGAGTGCCGCTGTCTGCGACCTTTTTACGAAGCAGTGCACCAGGGCCGTCCGAGCGTTTTGCGAGCTTGCAAGTTTCATGGCTTCAGTCGCGAAAAGAAAAAGGTTCTCGAGCAGCTCGAGCTGCCACTGGCGGATTTTTTTCCGCCAGGGCCTGCTGGCGCTCGTGCATCCTGATTTCCCGTGCATGCCTACGCATATTTAAACCATCGCCAAGGCCAGAATCCAAGGGGCTGAAAATGCCGCTCGAAAAGATTGGTTGCGCTGGACTCGTGATGGCGTTTCGCAAGGCGCCTATTTGGCTCATCGGTTTTCTCGGGCTCGGGCCGCCCAGGAGATTATTAGTGCTGTCTGGACACCCAGCCCCGCGCACTCGTGGAGGCCGAATTGGGGCCGTGGAAGAAGGTCTGGCTGACCCGCGGCTGCGCTGCTCAGCCGCTTCCCGATGGGGCCCAGTGGTGGCCCAGCCTTCCTCCCATACAGCCCTGCCAAATTCGGGGGGTCGCTCGGGGATGCAGCACCAAGACCCACTATGACCGCG